TTTCAGTTGCGAATTCCTTTAAAAGAAACGACAACCCTCATGAAGGAACACAAAACCTAGTTTATCGTATACACAGGAAAATAAGCTTGAGCACACTACTTCAGGAATTCAATCAAGACTCTATGACTCAGTAATACAAGAATATACAACTACGAAAATGACCCGAACATGTTTTGTAAATAGATGAACCAACCATATTAATAGTTGGGTAGCACTTGAAACTCACAAACCAAAGCTGTTGTATGATGGAAACGCTTTATCTCTCTCAATAACAACATCTCACTTTCCGCTGCATTTCAAATCGAATTCACAGACTACATTGACCATTTAACAGCAGAAACCGCATACTTATACCCTAACCCACCAAGCAGGATTCTTCAAACACAATATAAAGAAGCAACAAGCAAGAAGTCATGTGCCCGTTCCTCGATCCCCGTCTACATACGGAGAACGAAGCGATCATGTGCTCCATTTGACAACGAGCAGCTAACACAAAGTCACAAAATCAAACACCCATTCATTCAAATGCTCCACGTGCTCCCTTTGAATTAAACGCTAAGTAACAAAGACCACTTCTTCCCCACTACCTTAAATTAAGACATAATAACAGCTGTTCTTGCTTAATTTCAAAGACAACGAACAAAACGACCAGGAAAAAATAAAAAACATAAATCCAATTACTAAGTTAGCTCATGTGATTAAACATTTCCCGATCAAACATCCCTATTAACTGCAAAAATCAAAACGTTAAATTCCACGAACGAAATCGCAGGCAAGCAGTACAAGGATCTAGCAACTTCGTAAATAGCGAAGCCAAATAAAAATTCAAACAAAAATGAAAAATGATATTCGAAGCTAGATAATAACTTAATCGAGCCGAGCAGAACTCTACCTAATTTTCTCGGTAACCAAACAGAAAACGAAACGAGTGAATCGAGAGAAAAAATAACCGACCTCATATAGCCCTGAGCAAGATCTGCTGGAGGGAAAAGCCGTTCAGGAGCTGGGAATCACGCGGAAAAGCACTTTCTGCGAATCCAAGCTTTTGCCGAGCTCGGGTGTGATCTCGGGGTTCAAATAGCGTGAGAGAAAAGATTTAAAAAATCAAAAAGCAGTTTAACGGCAAGAATACTATAATTCCTGATATTTCCGAGGTTTTGAGGTTCACGTGTATTTCGGCGGTTGGCTGCAGGTACTTCGGCCGTAACGATTCGGAAGTGATTTGATTTGAGGGCCGGTGGACGTGATGGAGGAGGATGACTTCGTCTAGACTCGGGAGGGAAACACAAGGAGAAGTGAGAAGAAAGGGGTTATATATATATATATTATTATTTTTCGGTTTTTTTGTTTGTAAGTGCTTTAAAAACTAATCGAAAGTATTTTTAAATGAAATATTTTAAAATTTTAAGATCATATAAAGTGTTTTGTTTTTTGTAAAAATCATTAATTATGTGATTTTTGTATAATGAAATAAAATGTTTTTTTAAAATTGACTTGCACCCGTTCATAGTATTTTCAAACGAGTTATTATTTGCGTGGAGATCTCAGTAAAACAATTTAATTAAAATACTAATTAATAGGATTAGTAACCAATTTATATTCCAACAACTTTAATTAGAATTTTGACCATGATCAGACTCCTGCGTCCTTAATAGGTAAGCCACTTATGTTCTTTCTATTATTATATTGGATTTCCATTAGAAAAAATGTAACAGTTTTTTAGTGCTTTTGCTTTTCGATTTTTTTTTTAATTTTTATTTTTATGGAATGCACGGTATTCATTGAAAACAAATCAAAACACGTACAAACTGAAGATAGTATCTTGCCGGAACTCTCAACCCAATCGAATGAAAAGAATGTTCCGCACAAACAAAAAAACTTATCCTCAAATGACAATACATCGACAATTTACAAAATATCTTCAAACAAAATATACCTAAGCAAGTCAAGGGTTCTTCAAACCACATAAACCTTTTCTTTTTGGCTTAATGCTGGTTTTATTGGTTCCTTGTTTCATTTTTGGGATTTACGGAGAAATTTGTGGGAAGGATGTCGAAGTCAATTACCAAGTGCCCTTGTATCATTGAAGTCGGCCAAATAAAATATATGGGAATTTTAACGAAAAGCACCGGTACTGTTCACTTTAACGAAAAACCACATTTTTACACTAAAAAGTCAATCCTGGTACTATTCACTTTACTCTTTATTTTGTCCTTATCATTAAAACTCAAAGTTTTCAAGCCCTTTTCATTAGTTTTCCTAAAATATATTACTACAATTTTATAAGGAAAAACAGGAGACGTGACTTATATACACTTTTTTTTCTTTTTTTGCATAATTTGATAGAAATTTTTCTATACAAATTATTTTAAAAAAGCTTTTAAACGTAAATTTTTGTACAAAATTGTAACAGAATGTTGTACAATTTCTTTTGGGGTGAAACTTATTACAAATTTTTTTTGTAACAAAAAGTAATGTGTTAGTAAAATCCAAAGTAATTAAAGAAAATAATAAAAACAAGGCTTTAACCAAAATGGTCCCTAATTATCATAACTCCTTACTTTGGTTCATGAGATTTAAAATTGATAAAAGTGGTCCTGAGATTGTCCACCGTCAATCATTTAAATTCTTTTGTGAAAAATCTCTATTAAATTGAAGAAACCACTAGTTCAAGGAGATGAGTTAATTTGACAAAAATACCCTCAATTTAACGGAGATTTTTTGTAGAATCACCAAAATGATTAACCGTGCACAATCTCAATAACCAAAGTGATGAGTTATGTCAATCACAGTAACTATTTTGGATAAAAGCCTAAAAACAATATCTAACTTAATAAATTTTGCACAATATCTAACTTAAAGATGCTTATTTTGAGGCCATACCAAAATTTATGATGTCCATGCTGAATATTTAGCATTTAATACCATCAGAAGGATGCAACAACAAATTATCTGATTGCAGTTGTGAATGTTTGTAATTATTTTTTTTTCAGCACAACGATATATTTTTACACCAAAGGAAGGGGAGTTTAGTTAAGCTATACAATGAGCAACCTAATTTGACATCGAATTTGTCATCCACGAGATTCGAATCTAAGACCTATCACTTATCAATAAAGAACAATATCATCAAACCGTAATACTAAATGACGTTCGTAATTAACTTAACTACAATCTTTTTGTTGACCAAAAAGTCTTTATATATATATATATATGTTTATTTTTATTTTTATTTTGAACAAACAAAAGTCTACTATTTTTTAGACAAAACGGACTTATTGTGACGTTCCACAAAAGATAAAAATAAGCATTTTGTTTCTTCCTTTTCTTTTCCCCCAATGGCATTCATAATGAGAAATTATTTTTCTTTTAAATTTTTATAAACCGATTCATAAGACAACAACTAATACATTCTTTCGAAGATACACTTGACAAAGGCGATTTTTATGAGGCTGGCTAAATCATTGACTATTCTAGCACTAACGTTCATCGGACGGTAGAGAAGATTCAACGACGCGTAGGAAGCAATCACTGACCATCCTTTGGGTTGACCCTAAACTGAAGTTTGACCCGGCCAATAATAGGCCAAGAGAATTCTCTCCTAATCCTTTTGATGAGAATTCTAGAGATTTGTAAACCATATTCGTTCATTATATATTGTACGATCAGTTTTTGTTATATATTATTTATATTTAATTTAAAATAAAAATATTTAAAATAATTTCACAAATCGTCGAAATCCTCACAAAGAAAATCCAACAAAAATTCGAATTCAATAATAGGAGCTGTACGTCCACCGCTGCCCGCATATTAACGTTGAGTGGACAGTGGGCAGTTGGCCAGTCCGGAAGGGCCACATAATCTCGAACCATTGTGGTGCTTCCACGTGGTGCCCTAATTCTAAGTAGGTGGGACACACAAGTGCATGTTCCCAAATCGATTGGCCAGATTGTCGGACCGACATGTCGTATAAGCATGCAGAGTCGTCATCAAACTTTGGGCAATCGCTGATGCCAAAAGATGTTCCGGTTTGGAACTATTAATTGTGTGGATATAAACAAAGTTAATGTGGAAAATAGAGTGCTATGCTCTTGCTTGCAAAGTAGATAAATATTAATTAATGCGTCAAAAACGATGTTCTGAGAGGTCTTATTCATTAAAATTGAGAGAAGGAAAGGGGGAATTTGAGTGGCCAACTATATGATCGTGACATCGTTGCCTATACCCTTTCACAAATAATATTTGAGTTGTTTTAGGAATGAAATTAGTACACCAAAATGCGTTAAAGCCAATCCCAAGATAGTTATTAGGAAACACGAGGGTAAGACTATGGTTAAGAGCTCATGTGAAAATACTTTTAAAATGACTGAATGCGTTTATGAAGTGATTTTTTAAAATCCACTTTGATTATTAAAAATGATTGATTTAAAAAACATTCTGCCTTGGGAACACCAAGACTCGCCTAAACGGCACAATGTTTCAGGTGTCGTGGGGGGGGTATTTTCTTGTATCGTCACAACCCTTTTTTATCGCTCGGAGTTGAATTTAATTCCTTTTGAGGCGAGATTCTCTTTTAAAGTAAGTTTTTTGTAGTTTCGTTCTTGCTCGTGATTCGTGGGGGTAGTGGAAGAACCAAGTTAGTGACAAACTTGAATTATTATAATTTCGACATAAAAAAAGCAACAAACCAAATCTCCCAAACCCGAGCGATGAGTATGGCTTTGACGTGCTAAGATGTTGAGCAGCGTGCACCAAGGTGGGGGTCGGGTCTTGTTGGTTTTTCAACTCTTGTTTGGTTACATCTTTTGTCATGAATAAGTTCATGAAATCTTAGAATATTCAATCATATAACCGACCACACTTAGTGGAAAAAAGACTTTGTTGTTGTTGTTTTATTCCCCTAGTTTTGGACAGTATAATTTTTGTAAAAGCCCAAAAGGCACAAAACAAAGCAGGGCCCAAAAACAAGGGAGGGCCACATGAAATCTAACATACCCAAGAAATCAAGTTTGCAAGGTGTTTTATACTCTTATAAGTTTGTAAGCTTTACGGACAACTTTTACATACGACTGATGAATCTTCAAACAGGAAACCACACTTGGTGCATATACGCATGCGGCTTCCGATAGCGCCTTATTTTATGTACAAGAGTATGCATGGTGTGGAACGGGGGAAACTATACAGAACTTCCACCAAATTGCAAGTCTTAGGTTTAGACGCATCATCAAGGAAACAATTTCCGAATTCTACCACCTCTTTCTCGCAAATCATCAGATAGAGGCAGGATTAATTCTCTGATCTTTGAACAATCTTACCGATGAAAGCTTCAATTCTTGCTACGCCTCCTGAGCAGGGTCATCAATATCGGACATTTCCATGAGAGAAGGCAGCCACAGTTCTACTCGAGTTCCACCTGCTCCAAGTTCAGCATCTGTGATTCGGGGTGATATGACACGGACAACACAGCCATAACTTTCGAGGATCTCACGAGCAACTGTCAGTCCGGCCACAAAGTTCCAGGTCATGTTGTCTTCAACCATATTTTCTGAGAAGAGATCGGCTCCAAAAGGAGTGAGAGAATGCATTTGTGTCTGAAGACAAATAATCCAACGCTAAAGTTAATCCATGACAAACTGTATGCAGTGATGGTGAGTTACAATCGACTAATAACAGAAAAGTTAAATCTCTAATTGTTTATAGAAGATCAAGTTAGTAGAGTTCAAAGTCTGCAACTATTACCATATAGTGCATATCAGGCCCATCGTCATCAATTACCACAAGAGCACCACCTGCTGGTGCTCCAGTAGACACAATTTCTACCTTTCCCCCACTGTGCGTACGCAGTAATGCACTCTCGATTAAATTGCTCAGAGCCTGTCGCAAAGCAGGTTCTTCTACAGCAACTTGCAAAGAGTTTCCAAGTTCATTCAGTTCTACCACACGCTCCTGGTTTTTAGCAAGAGGTCGTACAGCTTCAACCAAATCTACGAGTATATCAGAAACATTGCATGGTCTTCCTGACATAATTGACAAGCATTAGCAAAATGATATGTTCTATGTTATAAGAGGGGAGTTAATTTCAAGTATCCAGCTCTATGCACTAGTGAAAACAATAGTGATATACTCAATTTTGTTTTTCTTTTCCATATTCTTTGGAATCTGAACTGATGATCTCAGAATTTGTAGCCTACCTAATCCCATTTTGCTGTAAAGGAGCAAGGGCTAGGGGTGGCATGGGCATCTCCGTATCTTTGGCTGTGGCATTTAGAGAATGTTGTTCGCTTGGAACTTGCATCTTAATGCTGGAACTATCCCTTGGAAGGTTATTCATTAACCGAGACCTCGCTGAGTCAGGATAGGAATATGTTGAATCATGTTCACCAGAGCGCATGATATTAGCCTAGAAAAATCAGATGGAAAGGTCAGTGTGTCTGACCCATAGCAATAATAATATAGACAGAACTTCAAATTTTTTAAGTATCAGAGAAAATTTGTAAGTTCCAACTACACAGTACAGTTATGACTGAAAAATATCTTGAGCATGCATATCTCAGAAAATTTTGAAAGGACATACGACAATGGGAACAGATTGCCAAAAATGACTAGGAAACTGCTGATAAACAGATTGACTCCTTGAAGACAGTACAAGAAGCCTCAATGACAACAGAATGTGTATGGTTAAAACGTGTCAGAGAGAGAGAGAGGGAGAGAGACTAAGTGCCTTGGTCAAGTAAACAGCATCCTGGAGTTGCTGAAGGGTATCTTTCATATGATCGCCTTGCACCCGTATATTTTCAACAATGTCATAAGAAATCTACATAAGCACACCATTCCAGTGTAAATACAGGACATAAAATGAATATATGTAAGACAAAAATTATAAAAAAGGTCATATACAAAGACAAACCTCACTCCTCTTCATATGCATGGATAACATTTTACTTAAGGTTCGAAGGCTAGAAAGAGGACCACGTATCTGGAAGAATACATAGCGTGAGGAAAATAAAAAAATAATCACTTCCATATTAAGAAAATGCAGAGCCAAATCACAAATGCAATAACAGTTGTCTTACTTGTTCAACCAGACTACCCATCCTTACATTATTCTGCCATGATGACTGCTGGAGTAGCATTGCCTTCTGCAGAAGTATGCATTTTTTTTATCAGTAACTAAGACGAATGGACTTTAAAAGACAGAAATATAGTCATAGCCGCCACACATCATAAGTAAAAATTAGTATTATTATTTCACTGTTAGTACCTGATCCATAACATACGCCAAAGCTATAGACCGAGAAATGTTGATTGCATTTGATATCTGCTCAGCACTAAACTTGTAAACTCTTAATGATGGTTCGGCATGATCATCCAGACTGCGAGGAGTACCCCAAGATTTGACATTGGAGCTTGGAGGCAAAGCATAGGCTTCCTCGGGAGTCGGGCGGCAAACCAAATCACGACCCTCACCCTGAACACTCCCGGGTGGCGGAGGCATTTCCATCCCGGGAAGTTCAGCAACCAAGAAGCCTACCACAAAGGGGTGCTTCACCATCGGAAAAACCACAGCTTTACACTCAGCTACAACTTCCACCTACAAATTCAATTCCCAACGGAATATATCCAGTCACAATATATCAACCCACAACTAAAACTACACACTAATACTTCAAATTCAGTATCTACTTTGTGATTGGAGAGCACGGCCTCTGCGGCGCGAAAACCAGCAGCAACACTAAAACTTCCGACTAATATCACAATGTCTGATGCCTTCACTCCCGGATGGCAAATTACCCTACGCAGCTCTAATCGGTCCATCACATAACTACCAGCTGGTCGTACATACACCTACACATACACACATATATACGTATGAATCCAAAATTATACATATTCATATACTATACATACATGAACGTACACAAATGTAATCCATAATTAATCATACACAAACAAAATTAGCAATGTGATTAATAGAGAGTAAGATATTAATTTGCCTAAACTGACCGAGAGGAGAGCACCGGGGTCGACGGTTCGGCGAAAGAGGTCCAACTGCTGAATGCAGAGTCTTTGAAAGTCGGGGCTGGGGAGCACGATGCCGCCCTTCTGGTCCTTCTCGATCCTCTGCATGAAGTCGACGGGCGAAGTGGAGGCTCTGCGGATGGCGGAGGCGACGGCGGAGGCGGAGGAGACCATGGAATTGGAATCGGGGTCGCCATCGGAGGCGGAGTGAGTGACGTGGCGGATGGTCTGGGGGGAGCTAGGGTTGGGGTTTTGGAGGGAGGAGGGGGAGAAGGCGTTGATGGTGAGGAGGTCATGGGGTCGGGGAGTGGAGGTGGCGTTGGGTTTGAGGGAGGCGGGGAGTTTGTGGGAAATAGAGGGAAAGAGGAGGGTAGAAGTGGAAATTGACGGGTGCTGGTGGGTGGTTGCAGAGAGAAGAAGCATTTGGAGGCGGAGGGGGGGGGGGAAGGTTGTGGTGGTGAGTTGAGTCGAGCGAGTCAGAGTGAGCGAACGGAGGTAAAAGTCAATCTGCCGATGAAATGCTAACTGATTTTCTGTTGCAGGCTGAGCTTAGAAGGACTAACCGACAGAAGTACAAATCACTGAAATTACCGAATGCCATTTCAGTTGTCCGACGTCGTTTGGGCGCCAAAAATTTCCCTTTTTCATTGGTTATTTATTTATTTATTTATTTTAAGTGTGAATGAACTCCGCCTATGTAATTTTACATTGCCGGTCCCAAGCCCGGATAAAGGAGGAGGGGGAGGGCGTCAGGTAGTCGACAGCCGGCACTCCATGATCACGTCGAATCCTTATGAAAATGAATCCAGAACAAAATCGCGCTAAAGCTAGGGCGTCACCCGTAAGTGGCGCGCTGTGTGGCCCGAGCACAGTGATAAGTGAGCAAGGGTCGCTGTATCTCCATCGGCACCCGGATGCAGTGTTAAATGAGCAAGGGGGCCGTAGAAACTTCTTTTCGAACGACTCCACTCAAAGTTGTTTGGGAGCATATGCTCCTATCAACTTTACACGGGACACACAAAAGAAGTACTTTGATCCTATTAGACGGGGGAGGGTGAAGAAGCTAAGACAGAAGGGTAGAGTTCAAGAGAGCAAAATGCGTTTAGGAACGTGGAATATAGGAACCTTAACGGGAAAATCTATGGAAGTAGTGGAAGTTATGGTGAGGAGAAGGATAAATATTATGTGCCTACAAGAAACTAAGTGGGTTGGTAGTAAGGCAAAGGATCTAGAAAACTCAGGGTTTAAACTTTGGTATTCGGGCACAAATAGAACGAGAAACGGTGTTGGCATCATCGTGGACAAGACCTTGACACAAGATGTTGTAGATGTCAAGAGGGTAGGAGATAGAATCATGGCAATCAAGATTGTAATAGGACAAGAACTTATCAATGTGATTAGTGCGTACGCACCTCAAGTAGGGTTGGATACGAGTTCGAAGGAGAAATTTTGGGAAGACCTTGGAGACTTGGTGCAAGGAATTGCTCAGACGGAGAAGTTATTTATAGGAGGAGATCTAAATGGACACGTGGGCAGGGAGACAGGCAACTATGGAGGTTTTCATGGTGGCCATGGTTTTGGGGAGAGAAACAAGGATGGGGAAGCTATCTTGGATTTTGCAATGGCATATGATCTCTTTTTAGCCAACACCTTCTTTAAGAAGAGAGAAGAACATGTGATCACCTACAAGAGTGGGTCGTCAAAAACACAAATAGATTTTCTTCTAATGAGGAAAGGGGATCGTATAACTTGTAAGGATTGCAAAGTTATACCAGGAGAGAGCGTGGCTAATCAACATCGCTTGTTGGTGATGGATGTACATATCAAAAGAGGGAGACAAAAGAACAAGACTTGGAAGTGCCCAAGGACTAGATGGTGGAATCTAAAAGAAGAAAAACAAGCAATTTTCAAAGAGAAGGTAATCACCCAATGTGTGTGGGATAGAGAGGGGGAAGCTAGCCAAATGTGGGATTCCATGGCTAGTTGTATCCGAAAAGTAGCAAAAGAGGTATTAGGAGAGTCCAAGGGCTTTGCCCCACACCAAAAGGAATCTTGGTGGTGGAATGAGGAGGTACAAACAAAGGTGAAGGTTAAGAAGGAATGTTGTAAAGCCTTATACAAGGAGAGGACCGATGAAAATGGTGAAAGGTATAGAAAAGCGAAGCAAGAGGCGAAGAAAGCGGTCAGAGAAGCTAAGTTAGCGGCTTACGACGATATGTATAAACGACTAGATACCAAAGAAGGAGAGTTGGATATCTATAAACTAGCTAGAGCAAGGGAAAAGAAGACAAGGGACCTAAACCAAGTGAGGTGCATCAAGGATGAGGATGGAAAGGTTCTTGCTACAGAGAACGCGGTTAAAGACAGATGGAGAGGTTATTTTCATAATCTTTTCAATGAAGGACATGAAAGGAGTGCTTCTTTAGGGGAGTTGAGTAACTCAGAAGAGTGTAGAAACTACTCTTTTTATCGTCGAATCCGGAAGGAAGAAGTGGTTGTAGCTTTGAAGAAGATGAAGCATAGAAAAGCAATAGGCCCAGACGATATACCAATCGAAGTGTGGAAAGTTTTGGGAGAGACAGGTATAACATGGCTCACTGACCTTTTCAATAGGATTTTGAAAACGAAGAAGATGCCAAATGAGTGGCGAACGAGCACTTTGGTGCCTATCTACAAGAATAAGGGCGACGTACAAAATTGCATGAACTATAGGGGTATTAAGTTAATGAGTCATACAATGAAGCTCTGGGAGAGAGTCATTGAGCATAGATTGAGGCAAGAGACACGGGTTTCGGACAACCAATTCGGGTTCATGCCAGGGCGCTCAACCATGGAGGCAATCTATCTCTTACGAAGATTGATGGAAAGATATAGAGATGGGAAAAAGGATTTACACATGGTCTTTATAGATTTGGAAAAAGCGTATGATAGGGTCCCAAGAGACATTCTTTGGAGGATCTTAGAGAAGAAAGGAGTACGAATAGCATATATCCAAGCTATAAAGGATATGTATGAAGGAGCAAAGACTGCCGTAAGAACTCATGAAGGACAAACCGAAAGCTTTCCCATAACTGTAGGATTACATCAAGGCTCATCCTTAAGTCCTTACCTTTTTGCGTTGGTAATGGATGAGTTAACAGGACATATTCAAGATGATATTCCTTGGTGTATGCTTTTCGCAGACGATATAGTGTTGATAGATGAAACTCAGGAAGGGGTAAATGCAAAGCTTAACCTTTGGAGAGAAGTGTTGGAATCTAAAGGTCTTCGCCTAAGCCGATCAAAGACAGAATATATGGAGTGTAAGTTCAGTGCAGATGGAGGCCAAAACGAGTTAGGGGTGAGGATCGGAGATCAAGAAATACCAAAGAGCGACCGTTTTCGTTACCTAGGATCTATATTGCAAAAGAATGGAGAATTAGATGGAGATCTCAACCATATAATACAAGCTGGATGGATGAAGTGGAAGAGTGCATCTGGCGTGTTGTGTGACCGCCGTATGCCACTGAAGCTCAAGGGAAAATTTTATAGGACGGCAATAAGGCCGGCGATGCTGTATGGCACAGAATGTTGGGCGGTGAAGCATCAACACGTACACAAAATGGGTGTAGCGGAGATGAGGATGCTTCGTTGGATGTGTGGGCACACGAGAAAGGATAAGATTAGGAATGAGGATATCCGGGGTAAAGTAGGAGTAGCCGAAATTGAAGGAAAGATGAGAGAAAATCGGTTACGGTGGTTTGGACATGTGCAAAGAAGGCCTACTGACGCTCCGATTAGAAGATGCGACTATGGGACAGAGGTTCAGGGCCGAAGGGGTAGAGGAAGACCTAGGAAAACTTTGGAAGAGACTCTAAGAAAAGACTTAGAGTACTTGGATCTAACGAAGGACATGACACAGGACCGAGCACAATGGCGTTCTAAGATTCATATAGCCGATCCCACTCAGTGACTTGGATTTTCCAAGTCTCCAACCGAGAAGTTTTCCTCACTCGAAAAATTAAGGGAACACTACCCCAACCTACATGCTCCACTCAGAAAGCTTCAACATACAAGCTTCAACAAAAGAAAATTCAAAGAACTTAGCGAAGAAGGCTTTGGTGTATTTAACACAATACGTTGAAATGAAGGAAAACTTATTTATTGATATCCCCGATAAGCTACAAATATGTACATATACATGAGTCAAAAAAACAAAAACAAGATGGAGCCTTCACAAAGGTTGCTTAGGAGAAGTCTCAGCAGTCGGTAGAGCCCCAGAAAGAGAAGGCATCGGAGGGGGATCATTCGGAGCCTCAGTACTGGACAGAACCCTAGAAGGAGGAGGCATCAGAGGTTGATCATTTGGAGCTTCATTACGCGGTACAGCCCCAGAAGACGAAGGCAATAAATGCCTTTGGAACAAACCCACAAATCTCTGATGATCAAGTAAAACCTGACCATCAGTTTCCTTCATCTGGTCAAGCTTCCTCTTCATGTTTGTAGCATAGTCATGTGCGAGCCGGTGCAACTGTTTATTCTCATGCTTGAGCCCTCTAATCTCCTGTTTGAGACTCATCACTTCGGCCGCCAATGATTCAACTTGGCGGGTTCGAGCAAATAGGCGTTGGGCCATATTAGACACAGAACCTGCACACTGAACACTGAGAGCCAGTGAATCCTTAACAGCTAACTCATCAGACCGTTTGGAAAGTAGTCTGTTATCTTTGGGAGTGAGAAGGTTCCTGGCCACCACACGCAGCGGTCATATCATTCTTCATCACGGAATCCCCAACGGTAAGAGGACCAGTAGGGGAGACGAAGGATGGGCGCCATATGTTGTCTGGAGAAGGCGGGGCTGCCTCTTCAACAAGGTTCAAGTCAAAACGACGGTCGGAGGGGCCAGACATTTTCAAAGGTATTGAAGAGAGAAGAGGTCGGACAAATCAAGATCTTAGAAGTGCAAGAATGGAGCTTCTACTGGTGGAGATTCAAGTGTGCTTTGGAACTTAATGCCAGCCCCTATAAAAAGCTGCACTCGACGGAGCTTCAGACATCGAAGAGGCGCCTGCTCAGAAATCGAAGAGGTGCCTGCTCAGAAATCGAAGAGGCGTTTGCTTTCTCAAAAGCTGGGCTGCTCTGGGCTCCTCAGAGACCACGAGGGCCGATCTCAGAAATCGAAGAGGCACCTACTTTTCCAGCCTTGTCAGCACCTGTCACACGCACACTCAGCTTTGCGGAAATTATGGGTATTCTGTCGAAGACTTCTGGGGAAGTAGAAAACACATGAATCTTACTGTCCAATCACCCACTTCCCACACGCAGCAATAGCTCATGGGTACCACAGAGAACTTTGCCAAAGTTCTCTGCCAAAGTTGAGCACGTGAAGCTTGCAGCTCCCACTACATCGCTCTGACCAAAAAGGGTAAAAGAATAGCAAAGAAACAGCACTAACAAAGTTTAGACCCATAAATTTTGAAGGTCTAGCTACCATATTATTACCCACAAGGGTAAAGGAACAGTACCACTGTTGGATAATTGGAAAGTCCCTGTGTGTCAACCTCTGTGCCTCGTGGCAAGGTAGACTAGCAAACATGTCCAACCTTTACTCACATTCGAGAAAACACTCCCAATAAGATTGCTTGCTCCAAAATCGAAGAGGCACCGTCCTCCGAATCTCGAGAGCCAGACTCCCAACATGACTACTTTCTCAAAAATCGAAGAGAGGGTAAAGGAACAGTACCATTGCTGGATAATTGGAAAGTCCCTGTGTGTCAACCTCTGTGCTTCGTGGCAAGGTAGACTAGCAAACATGCCCAACCTTTACTCACATTCGAGAAAACACTCCCAACAAGATTGCTTGCTCCAAAATCGAAGAGGCACCGCCCTCCGAATCTCGAGAGCCAGACTCCCAACATGATTACTTTCTCAAAAATCGAAGAGACACTGCTCCCCGAATCTCGAGAGCCAGACCCCCAGCATGATTGCTTTCTCAAAAAATCGAAGAGGCATCGTTCTCCGAATCAATCGAAGAGGCGCTCGCTTTCTCAAAAGCTGGGCTGCTCAGAGACCACGAGGGCCGATCTTAGAAAATCGAAGAGGCACCTTCTTTTCTAGCCTTGTCAGCACCTGTCACACGCACACTCAGCTTTGCGGAAATTATGGGCATTCTGTCGAAGACTTCTGGTGAAGTAGAAAGCACATGAATCTTACTGTTCAATCACCCACTTCCCACACGCAACAATAGCTCATGGGTACCACAGATAACTTTGTCAAAGTCTCTGCCAAAGTTGAGCACGTGAAGCTTGCAGCTCCCACTACATTGCTCTGACCAAGAAAGGTAAAAGAATAGCAAAGAAACAGCACTAACAAAGTTTAGACACATAAATTTTGAAGGTCTAGCTACCATATTATTACCCACAAGGGTAAAGGAACAGTACCACTGCTGGATAATTGGAAAGTCCCTGTGTGTCAACCTCCGTGCTTCGTGGCAAGGTAGACTAGCAAACATGCCCAACATTTTACTCACATCCGAGAAAACACTCCCAACAAGATTGCTTACTCCAAAATCGAAGAGGCACCGCCTTCCGAATCTCGAGAGCCAGACTCCCAACATGATTACTTTCTCAAAAATCGAAGAGACACTGCTCCCCGAATCTCGAGAGCCAGACCCCCACCATGATTGCTTTCTCAAAAATCGAAGAAGCATCGTTCTCCGAATCTCGAGAGCCAGATACCACATACCACTTTTTTCAAAGTGCTCTGACAGAGTTAAAACATGTGAAGCTGGCAGCTCCCACTACCGTGCTATGACCAAGCAGGGTAAAGGAATAGCATTACTACTTGTTGTTAGGGAGACTCCTATATATGTCGACCTCCATCCCCAACGGACAGGCAGACCTGCAAAAATGCTCAACCCTTCCTCATATCTGAGAGGGCACTCCCAACGAAGCCTTTCGAAATATTCAGCTTTCTTTCCCCCCGATAATACCTCTGCAAACAAGCTATACTAGAGCAAGAATATCTCATATCATCAGGGTTAAAAGCAAGAGTATCCCATATCATGCTTTTTCCCTGTCTTTTCCTTTGGCCTTGTTTTTACCTGCAAGACAAGGAGAAAGAGAGCAATCAGTCAGCACTTGAAATCAAGCTCCCAGCCAGGAACTGACAGCCTGGAACCCCTTACCTGATTACTTACCTGGCATTGCTCTCGAGTACTCATCTTCAACATCTTATGTTGCCAGGGAAGATACCGCATCTGCTTGAGGAACAGATAGGGCAAGTGCGAAGGATACAAGGAAGCATGTGGAGACAAGCGTAACAGCACACGTGCCGATCCATCCATTACTCTGCCAAAAGCAAAAGTATCCCATATCAGCAGGGTCGAACGTACTCTAGATTTGATGGACTTGTTTTGACCCTCAAATTCTTCAGTCGGCCTTATACTCTGGAGGAAACCAGAAAACCCTCCAGCTCAGTTCAAGAATAAGCCTGTGGAAAGTTAGTTCTTCAAAAGCAAAAGTATCCCATATCATCTCTTCTCATTTTTCTTCTCTTTATCCTTCATGCTGCTGCAAGATGGGGAGAAGGTGAACAATCAGCCGGAGCTCTGATTGCTTACCTTGTCTGTCACCTCTTTCAGCAAATCCCCTAGCTCGGCGACTTGGGGGACTCCTACTACATGGTTTGTATCGCGCTTGACCAAGCCTGAAACTACAAGTAAGCTTCAAGTGAAATTGATACATTACCTTGTGCATCTCCACCAGTTAAAGATACCACCCCTGGATGGAGGAAGAGTACTTCCAGAGAAGCTGCCACATCTACCTATGAGACAGATAAGGCAAGTCAAGATGATACCACACACTCCGATACTTAGAAGTTTCGTGATTACGAGATCATTCTCCCACAATATTTCCTAATGTCATTTGTACTCTAATGTCATTTGTACTAAATCATTCACTTGTACTCACTAAAGGAGAGCTTGAACCTATGTACTTGTGTAAACCCTTCACAATTAATGAGAACTCTTCTATTCCGTGGACGTAGCCAATCTGGGTGAACCACGTACATCTTGTGTTTGCTTTCCTATCTCTATCCATTTATATACTTATCCACACTAATGACCGGAGCAATTTAGCGAAGATCACAAAAAGCGACCGTTTTCGCTACCTAGGATCTATCTTACAAGAGAACGGAGAATTAGATGGAGATCTCAACCATAGAATACGAGCTGGATGGATGAAGTGTAAGAGTGCATCCAACATGTTGTGTGACCGTCGTAGGCCACTGAAGCTCAAGGGAAAATTTTATAAGACGGCAATAAGGCCAGCGATGTTGTATGGCACAGAATGTTGGGCGGTGAAACATCAACACGTACACAAAATGGGTGTAGCAGAGATGAGGATGCTTCGTGGGATGTGTGGGGCACATGAGAAAGGATAAGATTGAGAATGAGGATATCCGAGGTAAAGTAGGAGTAGCCGAAATTGAAGGAAAGATGAGAGAAAATCGGTTCCGGTGATTTGGACATGTGCAAAGAAGGCCGACTGACGCTCCGGTTCGAAGATGTGACTACGGGACAGAGGTTCAGGGCCGAAGGGGTAGAGGAAGACCTAGGAAAACTTTGGAAGAGACTCTAAGAAAAGGCTTAGAGTACTTGAATCTAACGGAGGACATGACACAAAACCGAGCGCAATGGCGTTCTAGGATTCATATAGCCGACCCCACTTAGTGGGAAAAGGCTTTGTTGTTGTTGTTGTTGTAAGTGTGAATGACTTTTTTTTTTTTTTTTAAGTCGAAATAACAACAACAATTGTTTTTTGAATTTAATTTGGAGACAAAACGAGATTTAATTTGTTTGATTGATAAAATCTTTCTACTTATTTTTCTTGTGTTTTGATCAATTAATTGACATGATACATTGTTAAAGTATAATATCAATCACAAATACGTTTCGAATTGGTTAATCAACAATGACGATGAATGAAATTATAGTTAAGCAAAATTTATCATGAACAAGATTTTCTTGAAACATTATTGTTTAAGAATCAAACATTGCTTAAAGGTATATAGATTAAAATAGCAAATTTGGACTTAACAAAGTTGACTTGGTGTTCACTCATCAACACTTGAGTTTGAATTTCTCTTTTCAAAAGATTGAATCTAACCTCCTAACGCCATTGTCACTATCACCACGCTCACCACCATGATATTTGCTACCATCGAAATTTGTTAATTTTTAAATATTGGCTACCATCTCATATTCAAAATGTAAAGCATGTTTTTATTTCTTTTTTTGGGGGGGGGGGGGGGGGGGTTTCACAAAACAGTTTAATTTGTAAAACATAATCAAACAAGACCTTATATTTTTGTGATGCTAAGTATCAAGTGTTGGTGCATGTATCATGGAGAGGACAAGTCAATCGGTTTGTGGACTTTATTACCGCAGTGGGCTTGAATCTCTTTAAAGAGAACGAGATACACACGCCTCAGTCTAATTGTCTAAGTGCTTTTTAAAAGAACATTATAATTTACTTGTAATTTTTCCAACGTAAAGTATCGTATACATATGAATATAAAATTTAGGAATCATGACAAATTGATAATTACATCTTTAGGGAAGAATTAAACCCTAAACTATTACTGTCTTGAGAATCCGAGACTTGGCCTCCTCGTGCAGAAACATACAACGAGGATTGTTGCAAGGCACACTTTCTAGGCATGCGTGACAATACCTTCTCGTTACCAAAGCATGCCCTCAAAGCTCTACCATCCGACCAGAGGAACGTCCGGCCATCGACTCTTTGAATACAACGAATCGCTTCCACCTCTTTCGAGTAAGTAATATATACATTACTACTCGTATTGTCCGTAAATCGCCGGATGAAAACTTTCACAACCTTCCCATACTGCCCGAAATATTTTCTCCGCCGCAAAAGGTGTTCGTCCGCCAGATCAAGCGGCAACCCTACTATGTGAACAAGGTTCCGTTGAACCACTCGCACGCCACTGAGCTGCTGCTTCCGGCGACGCGCTTCCGTGTCAATCTTCATCTTATTCAGTTCAATCTTCATCTTTTTCAGTTCAGCCGCCAGTCTCTCAAACCTTGGGCCCGTCGACCCTACGATATTCTCCTTGTCGTAAGGTGCACGGCACGCAGGGCATCGCCCTTCCCTCTCGTCCTTCTCGGCCATGTCCACTATTTGGTGCCAACACCAAAGGCATATCTCGTAACCGCACTCGCACGGGTGCAATTGCTTATCTGTCAAATCCATCTCCTCCGCGCAGAGCGGACAACAAGGCTTTTCTTCCTGCGGACGACTCATGACATATAATTGTATATAATTACGAATTTACCAGTTGGGGATCGACAGGAAGAGGATGAGATTGTGATAACCCTAGGTCGATTGTGTTCCAAAACAAAGAGATGGAGAGCGAGAGAGAGAGAGAGATTGGTGTAGGTATATTTCCGTCTTATTGAACCACACCCCTTATATATAGAATTAGGTTGCTTGGAGGGTACCCCAAAATTTCCCTATTATGTGGGAAAAATATTTGTTGTCGGTGGGAAAAGTATTTATATACCTATATATTGTACGTATTTTTGGGACAACATAATTTACCAGATTTATATCATTATTCATGTTTACTTTTTTTTTTTTTTTTGAGGGAAAAGTACGTTATTCATTGCACTGAAAATAAAACATGTACAAATTAAGGATAGCATGCATAATGTGCCTCGATAAAACCTTGCCTGGACTTTCAATCTGGTCGAAGGGAAAAGAGCGTCCCGCAGAACAAAGAGAACTATACTCAAATGATAATACATAAAATCATAACCCTACAAACTTTCTTCAAATAAAATATCCCTGAGCAAATGAGGGGGTCTTCAAACCACCCAAGCTTATGGGTACTGCCCAGCCCCATACGTGCAAGCCTATGTGCAGCCAAGTTACATCCTCGCTGCACCCAACTCACCTCTGAATCAAACAAAAAATTGGAGCAAAAAACGCAAGTCATTTATTATATTCCCCAATAGAGAACAATCCTCCCCCTTGCCCTTCATTGCAGCCATCACCAAACTGGAAAGATCTGATACCACAAATGCCATGCAAGAAGAGTTTGATGCATTGATATTTCAAGGAACTTGGAGACTAGTTCCTCCTCTAGATAATAGAACTATTATTGGGAGTAAATGGGTATATAAGATCAAAAGAAATCTTGATGGGACAGTTGCAAGGTATAAGGCACGGTTGGTGGCACAAGGTTATAGTCAAGAACAAGGCTTAGACTACTCAGAGACATTTAGTCCAGTAGTGCGACACACCACAGTGAGGTAAAGCAGCCATAAATGATGAGTAGTTTTGTCTTGTAATGGCTCATGTCTTCAACCGAGTTTGAATACCAGTATTTGTACTTGGAATAGTGGTATGAGTATCAGATGAAGGAGTAATAGGAAGAATTACCTGGAGTTATGCAGAGTCAAGGATCAACCTCACTGTGATGTACTGTACATTGGTCATGTTTACTTACTGAGGATACAAGAAAAAATAGATCGGGAACATGCCAAAAATGTTAGTCTTCAAAGGAGATAGAGCTTATGTATATATAATATACTTAGAATTGCCACTAAGGGGGTGTAAGAGGTGCCACGACACAAGGCCCCAAATTGCGAGGGCCTGATTTTTCATTTTTGCATGTATATATATCTATATACAGGCTCTTTATGCAAAGAGATTATTATTTTTTTTCAAAAAATGAGGATTATGTGTGGGCCCACTCCACGTCGAACTTCAACGATTTGAACTGTCTATTTTGTAAGTCTCGATTCATAGATTATCTTTACAAAAATTCAATTAAATCCGAAACCATTTGTCTATTTAATTATCAAGATAAAATTTTATTGTTTCTTATATAACAAAGTATTCGTCAATTTTTTTTAACCCAATTAGATGTCTTAAATATTTCCAATTTGGCTAATATTTTGAAATGATGATTTATGAGATGGAACTTGAAAAATAGACGGTTCGGATTGTTAAAATTCGATGTGGTATGGACCCCACAACTAATTCTCATTTTTATAAAAAAAAATGGAAATCTCTTCCCTTAGAGCAGCTCCAGTGTAGGAAAGGCCCCCCAGGGCAACTGCCTATTGAATCATCTCCAGTGAACAGTAACTGCCTTTAATGAACAGTAATTGTCTTTTGCATCTCCACTCCTAAGCTGAATAGTCATGGCAATATGCAATAAAATATTAGCATTTTTTATTTTATAAAATAATAAAAATAATTTTATTTCAAATTTCGGATATGATTTTTAATCGGTCTCGTTGTAACACGTTTCATTAAATAAGAAATTACAACCCAAAGTATTTGAGAAAATATACAATTATGGTGTAAGGTGGAAGATAATGATAAGATATTTATAGAAAAATTAAATCTTTTTTTTTCCGGATTTTTTTATTAATTGTTTACATTTTTTATTAAATTTTTACATTTTTTATTAATTTTATAATATGGTGACGTTATCCTGACGTCAGCCTTGCATTAGCTTGCCCTAAGGCACTCGGGCCTGCGATTCGACCCCACCCTCTCACTCTCCCCCCTAACCTAATCTCTCGCATGGGCTGAAGCAAGGAGGGAAGGCAATTGGATTGAAAACCTCCCCGATTCATTGGGCTATCCACAACAATGGAGTTGCCCTTAAAAGCTTCCTATCTATATATATACCTAAATGTGTAGGTAGTTAACAAACATGATTTGTTAGTGCTGGTGGTCTTTGGCTACTTTATATCTGATTTCTTTTCATTTTTTTTTTCAATTTTCTATATGTTAAATGCATCAATTTTCACAAAAAAAATGATACAAAGGTTTGAACCTGACTTGTAAACGAGTCGGGTTTATCGGGTTTGGGTCGGGTTCAATCTGATCCCAACCCGTTAAGCTAACGGGTCACCCGAACCCAATCCGTTAATCTAATAGGTTACCTTTTTCACCCGTTAACATTTGTTTTTTTTTTGCATTCCAATACATTGACACATATTAACTACGGAAATTATGAACTTCACTTGATGGCAGCACCAACAATCTTTCCAAATCTGGTTATGACATTGAACACTCCGTCAGGAACACCAGCCTTCATAAGAATTTACAAGAGAGAGTCAACAATGGCGAGCCACATTGGCAATAAACACGAACAAACGCAGAGAATGAGTTTTTTCTAATGAGCACAGTATAATGCAAATAAAGGTGTTTGCTCAGCAGGTTTGGAGATGTGTTTTTACCAGGGTGGTCAACGGAGCCGCCATTGAAGCTACCTTGCTGTTGCTGCTGCAGAAGCTTTTCTGTGCAGTGTGGTGATAAATGTGCTCATCAGAAAAAGCTAAGAGTTTATTTTTTATTGTTAAGGTTTTACTGAAATTACTCAAACATCCTCAACTAATGGATGCTAGCGGGTTTAGCGGGTTGACCTAAAGCGACCCGTTATTTAATGGGTTGTTAACGGGTTCATCCGTTAGTGACCTGACCCGTTAAGCATCTACCCAAATACTAATATTAAATGGTTGGGTCGAGTCGGGTCGGGTTAACGGATCGGGTCCAAAATGCCAGGTCTACATGTATCTTTTAAAATCAATGGAAAAAACTAATACATGGCTCCACTAGTAGTTTTTATAAAATTCCTTGTCCTATTACAATTTATAGATCTACAATTGAAATCCAATTACGATTTTAGCTTTACTCAAGGTTTTCGACTTTCTTTCGCACAGGGCCCTTGAATTCTCTTGACCGACCTGAATATACTATCATGCATGCATGCATGCACATCCTTCAGATTAGCCCAAATCATTTTATCAACAAAACAGTCGTTATTGCACTCATTTCTTCCTTCTTTGTTTCACTGGCTAGGGTGGATGGTTTTTTAGGGTTTTTCTCAAGCCTTGCTACGACCCCTAATCCACCGAGCTTGCCACCGAATACCAGAATTTTCTTGACCATTGGTCTTCCACCTTGAACATGGCGATGGATAGTAGTCATGCAGTCTCATCAGCAATTATGTTAGTAAACCTTTTTGGTAATTGCTTCCATGACACTGGCTTAGAATTTGATGATACCACTTACACTGATCATGTTGGGATGGAATTGGGATCGAAGATTAAAAAGGGTTTGAGAACAAAAACAGTCGGGAGGCAATCGGTATTAGACACGAAAGGCGCTCATGCGGACTACTGACGCTCAAGCGGACTGCGACATGTTTGTTTTTCTTTTTGAATTTCTATTGTAATCTAAAGTTTATTTTACAGGTGTTACTTAGTACTACAGTCTAGTGATATTTATTTTTACTTACACTTAGTATTACGGTTTAGTGATATTCCTTTTCACTTGCAAGTGAGAAGTCTTAGGTTCGATTCTCACCAGAGGCAAATTTGAACCACATTATTGCTAGTCCATTATGAAGCTTAGGTATTAAATATCGATGATATCGGAAATATCGGTAGTTCAAAAACACGGAAATTTCGATGGAAATATCGGAATATTATCGATATCGATAAAAATTGTATAAAAACCACGAAAATTGTAAGAAAAACTTGAAAATTTTTATTGAAACTTTGTAGGATGTTTATTTAGTCAATTATCTATTAGTTTATCACAAAAAATTGGAAGGAAATGCATTGCATGATAGATATAACTGATTTAAATTGATTATATAGCAAGCTGGCAAACATTGTGAGTGTAGAAAATATGTAGTAATTAATGAAAGAAGTTTAAAAACACCATAATCATTTATATATAATGAATTAGTATAATATTTTACACTTTATATATTGCATGGTAAGATACATGAGTGACTTAGCAAGATCTAAAATATCGATGATATCGGAAATATCGGTAGTCCAAAAACATGGAAATTTCGGGATATTATGGATATTTTAGACCATGAGCTTAGCTCACTTCATCACCCGGAGACCAAATTTTGTAAATCAAATGACATGAAAGTTGACAATTGGATATTACTTAAATGTTGATTAACATGTTTATTTGTTTTTTGTGACACATCATTTAGTCTACCTAGCATTACTCTGTGAGAAAGCATACGTGAGGCACCAAAAGAGTTAATTTAAGGGGTGAGAAGTAGCTTATGACCTTAGACTGAGAAAGGAGGGGTTCTTTTCTTGAACAAAATTTGTATTGTCTTGTAGTGAAATTTCTCATGGGATCGCCAAATAGGGATTTGGATTCCCACCGGATCCATTACATCCGGATCTTCCAGATCACCCATATTCTCCTTCCCCTCTCTTCTACAGCAATCACCATCACTGCTGCAAACAAACCTAAATGCGCGACTGCAAACTCAGTGGAGGTGAGCGTGCAACACGAGAACTACATGAAGGATGCAAGGGCTTTCGTTGTGTTGTCTGCAACTGTTGATTTGAGGATGGACGCTTGTAGAATTTTCTCATAGCGCTAAGGAAGGGGCTTGGGTTGATGTCGATGTGCTTCGGTAATTGTAAAGGAGAGTGGGGGAAGATGAATGGAAAAGATAGTTCATTTTAAGCCACACGATTCTATTACGGATGGTTGAGATTGGGTGATCCAGATATAATGGATGGACGAGGATCCTAGTCCGCCAAAGAGGACGTAGGCAAGTTGCCCAACATCTACAAATATTTTTTGGTTTAATTTTCCGATACTATTAAAACCTCTAATCCAATCCATTTTCACTAATTCAAAAGGGCCTAACGTAACTTGAAGATACTTGACCGAATAATTTAGCTAATATTATAGAGCAAGAGTTTAATGGTTATAATAAGTGACCGTAAAAGTATTACATGTCGCATCAAGAATCATTTTTAATACAAAAACATCCCATATATAAGTTCGTTATCATCGAATTCGCTCCAATTGACGTTACATTGTAACACAAAACGGTCTGATAGATTAATCGATTTAATTCTGTCGATTAGCACAGACGAATTGATCAATCCTAACCCAACTGGTCAAATCCAACTTTTTGGCTTGAAAAAGTCAAAATTGTTATTACAACTGTAGATAGTCGTTAACTGAAATCTTGAAATTTCTGTTATTTTTTCAGTTAAATTTATCCGGGAAAGTTTCTGGAACCAAATTTATTTCAAAGTTTTGACCGCATTCCTAACGGCTCCTAGTTTTGACCCCACCAGAACCCTAACTTCTCTCTGCCCCTTCCAATCCTCTGCTTTATTACTACTTCAGTCCTCGCCCATCACTTTCTCTCACATTTTATTTCTAGCCGTTGGCGCCTCTCTCTCTCTCTCTCTCTCTCTCTCTCTACGTTTTCTACAACAATGGCGAGCTCAGAACTCCCCGTTTCGCATTCCGATTCGTTATGCGCTACCGCCGCCGTGCTCGATGCGGTTGCCGCTTCATCTTCTTCTCTGAAGCGGAAGAGACCCCCGATGATTGCAATCCCGAACGTCCTGCAAGAAATTAAAACCGAGAAGCTCCGGGATTTCACCCCTCAGAACGGCGCCGTCTGCTTCAACGGGATTGGAGTTGGGGTCTCCGCCTCCAAAGGCAAGAAGAAGTTTATGGAAGATACCCACAAGATTGTTTCTTGCTTACAGGGACAGAAGTCAAAGAAAGTAAGCAAATTGGCTCTAATCATTTATGGGGTTTGCTGGAATCCCTTTTTTTTTAGTACTTTCTTTGTTGGCTTTTCTAATTTAATTTCTTTTTCTTCAATTTGTAGGCGTTTTTTGGGGTGTATGACGGGCATGGTGGGAAGAGGGCCGCAGACTTTGTTGCTGAGAATTTGCACAATAATATTGTCGAAATGATGGAAATGCATACGGAAACTGAAGAGGCAGTTAAAGCTGGGTATCTGAAGACAGACCAGGAGTTCTTGGAACAGGTAATTGCAATTCTGGTTTCTCTGCATCCTTAATTCTCTTGACTGATTACATGTTAGAGGCGTGAGGTGTAAACGTGACATTTGGAAGCAAAAAAAATGTGAATTCCATCCAATTTGCTTAGAAAACTTCATTGATTATTAGCCTCCCTCGATACATGAAAATGTTGTTCGGCTCAACTGAATTGTGGAGATTAATATTGTTAGTTATGACTGAGAACATGGTCTGTATTAGTAAAGGTTTATTGATGATTTCGGGTGAATGCAGGGCTTAGGCAGCGGAACCTGCTGTGTCACAGCCTTAATCGAAGGGCAGGAGGTTGTTATTTCAAACTTGGGAGATTGCCGGGCAGTTCTTTGTAGAGGTGGAGTGGCGGAAGCTCTTACAAAGGATCATAAGGCAGAACAGGAGGACGAACGCAACAGAATAGAGCATGAGGTATTTAACATAATCATTGTCACAAGTACATAGTACTGACATATATTGGAAATATTTTGATGGTAATTGTTGGTATTGTGATTAGGGAGGTTATGTAGAGTTCCACCGAGGAGCATGGAGAGTTCACGGGGTTCTTTCTGTTTCTAGAAGCATTGGAGATGCTCATCTGAAAAACTGGGTGGTGGCCGAGCCTGAAACAAAGATCCTGCAGCTGACTCCAGATATGGAATTTCTTGTATTGGCTTCGGATGGACTATGGGGAGAGGTAAGAACGGAACCCTTCATGCATGAAATATCTATCTTATTATTTGGAAGTATTGTAAAAACTGGAAATGCAGTCATTAATGCTTTTGCTGATATCTCATTGCTTGTATTGACTTGCATTTTGCATAGATAAATCTACCATTTTCTTTTTCTGCTAATTGTTAAAGTCTTTCTTGGTGCATGAATGGATATCTGAGTCTACATCCCTGCTGAGAATAATGAAAGTCTGTTCTTTCTAACTCTGATGTTGAACCGTTTTACCTAGGTTGACAACCAAGAAGCCATCGATACTGTGAAACGATTATGTTCAATTCAGAAGAAATCGGCACCCTCAGGAGATCTTCTGAATGACGATGACTATGGCTGTGTCAGTGTGAGCCCTTCATCAAAGTTGCGAAGGATTTCGCTGGTTAAGCAAGTAAAAGGGATGCAATCCCCAGGCTTTAAGAAGGCGGTCAATAGCTGGCAAGGTAGTGAGAATGACCTTGCAAGTGAAAATGAAAGCCCTCCATCAAAGGCAAGAAGAATATCCTTAGTAAAGCGATTAAACACAAAGATGGAATCACCCAAAAAAGAGACTCAATCTCCAGATAGCTGGAAAGATAGCGAGAATGAATTTCCGAATGAAAATGAAAGGCCTCCATCAAAGTCGAGAAGAATATCAGTGGTAAAGCGAGTAAGCACGAAGATTCAACCTACCTCTTCGGGTGGACTGGTGGCTGCTTGTAAGGAGCTTGTGAGACTTGCCACGAGTAGGGGTAGTTTGGATGACATCACTGTGATGATAATTGATCTCAATCACTTCAGATGCAACAGTGGATTCGCCCAGCTCACTTGATTCGCATTTGTACTCTTGCTGTATGCCTCCTCCTGTAGTTTAGGGTAACCTTCCAGAAAGCTATAGAGAAAGCTGTGCAGGTACCAAAGCGATATGTTAGATTCTTTAACTGCAAGTAACAGGAAGTCGCTTTCTCTCTTTTCAAAAGCTCAAGGATAGTGCTCGTGGACCACCATTCTTTCCTTAGTGCTTCTTCCTCACGTAGTGAGCACCTCTGATGTATCTATATGTTGTGCGCGCGAGTGCGCGATTGTAATTGCCCTACTGACTATATGTTGTGATAAATGAAGCTTCAGTAGCCTGCTCATGAATTTCTTTATGTTGGTATGTCTAAATGAAGTTTTAATTCTTGAGACAGGTAAAGGTCGATTCAGTAGCCTGCTCGTTCAGTAACCATTTCATTGTCACCAAAGCATCTAAGAGAGCTGTGGAGACTCTGAGTTGGAGCACAGCAGATTCCTCCCATCTTTCTGCACCTGCCACCCAGGATTCCTGCTATCTGCTCACTTCCCCACACACGACTCACTCCATACAGTTCAATCCAGGAGTTAAAAATACCTGGTAACAAAGACAAATCTGCTTAAAGCACGTAAACCACGTGGAATCATAATTTATCCACATCGTAAATCCAAATTATTTAATATTTAATCCAAATTAATCCCCTTTACCCTCCCTAACATTACCCTTTTTGGGTTGTTTAATTTCTGGTACACTGTCACATGAACTCCATATGTGATGGAAAAGGAGCTCGTTTGCTTTTTTCCATGCATGAAAACGGTAGATTTTATTGGGATCAAACTTATTCTCCCAACCCAAACCACTTCCAAGACGAAATAAAGTAGGTGTTGTTATAAACATAATCCCAATAACAGATTGGAAAAGGGCTCGCACAGTTTACATTAAACGTAAACGCGTTACACTTATAGATTTAAGTTTAGCGCAGACTATCGCTTGTACTATCATAATATAAACTGTTTACTCTCGTCCTCGCTTCTCTCTCCCTCTAAGTCTGCCAGTTTGGGAATTTAATCATTTGGATGCCATGCTGCAAGAAAACCTCTCTTTCAAATCTTTCGTGCAGGATCTTAGCTAATCGAACGCATTCCTCTTTCATTAGTTAAATCAATTGGTTTTCATACATTTCGTTGAGTAACCATGCATGATTCAATTGGAATTCCGCCCTGCTTCTCAGCCGGCACTCATCCCACCCCAGCCGGCGAGATCAGGTCGGGGCAGAGCATGTTCATGTCAGTGTACAGCACGAAGATAGCCGGCCAGTGTCGGCTGATCACCGTCAACTGGTGCAAGAATCTGTTACTCCACGGCCTCTCTGTTTCGGTGCAAGGCCAAAACAGAGACGAAGAGTGTCGATGCAAAATCGAGCTCAAGCCGTGGTACTTCTGGCGCAAGCAAGGCTCCAAGCAATTCACGGTGGACGGCAGCGCCGTGGATGTCGTCTGGGACCTCAAAGCCGCGAAATTCAACGGCGAAACGGAGCCACAATCGGACTACTACGTCGCCATTGTCTGCGAAGACGAGGTGGTTTTGCTCGTTGGTGATCAGAAGAAAGCCGCATTCAGAAAAACTGCCTGCCGGCCGTCGCTCATCGAACCGATCTTGGTTTCGATGAGGGAGCATTTGTTCGGGAAGAGGAAGTTTTCGACACGAATCAAGTTTCACGAGAAGGAGAATTTCCATGAGATTTTGATCGAGTGCAGCAACGGCTCAGATGGGTCTGATCCGGAGTTGGAGATAAAGATTGATGGGATCCAGGCCGTTCGTGTGAAGCGTCTTCATTGGAAGTTCAGAGGGAATGATTGCGTTGATGTGAACAGAAACAGAGTTGAAGTTTTTTGGGATGTTCATGACTGGCTGTTTTGCTCTGGTCCGAGGCACGGACTGTTCATATTTACGCTGGTTTCGGCGGAGCCTACGGCGGAGAAACCGTCGCTTTCGACCGTTGACCAATCTTTGACTGAAAAGGTATGTTTGTTGGATTTGTGACCAAGTGGACAACAAGCCAAAATACCTTTCGGCTAATAAAATAGAATAAGGAAAAGGGGGACATCATTATGATGTCTAGCCCTTGATTTGTGGCTTTTACAAAGGCAAAGAATATGTGGCAATTATGGTTTTGTTCCTTTTGTTTATTATATGTTTTTTGTTATGCCTTTGGTGAAGTGGGAGCGGCAGTAGAGGAGAAAAAAGGGAGTTGTTTGTTGACAGCTCTAATCAGTGAGCAGAGGAGAGAGCATTCGGCTCTCCCATATTAAATAGAGTTGATGCCTTCCCCCTTTGTGAGTGATCACTCAATTAAAGATATTTGTGCTACATATTGTGGCTTTAGTGAGAGAAGGAATTTGGTATATGTTTCCATTTTCTCCATTTGTTCTTTGTTTTAGTGAGAGCTATTAGGTGTATGTGGGATTTGGGTTTGAGAGTTAAAACTCTATTTGTAATCTCCTTTTGATATTAGTGGAATTTCCTCGCCGTCTCGGAACTGGACGTAGGCTTACGCCGAACCAGTATAAATCCTTGTGTTATTTGGATTATTTGTCTTGTCATATTTTACTGTATTAGCTTATTGGTTTCATATTTGACGCTTCCGCACAACAAGTGGTATCAGAGCTCTGAGTTTCGACTTGGGGCTTTGTACTAATATGTCTATGAAACCTTCAAATATGTCGGTGAAATATGATATTGAAAAATTCAATGGGAGGAATGATTTTAGCCTGTGGCGGGTTAAGATGCGAGCTGTGCTAGTTCAACAAGGGTTGCTTAAGGCGCTACAGGGTGTGGAAGCCTTGCCACAAGATTGGTCTGCTGAAGAAAAAGAAGACGCTTTGAATCGAGCACATAGTGCAATTATGTTATCACTATCTGATGAAGTTCTTCGTGAGATGGAAAATGAAACTACTGCAGCTGGTTTGTGGCTTAAGTTGGAGAGTATATACATGACCAAATCCCTCACCAATCGTTTGTATTTGAAGCAACGTTTGTACACTCTCCATATGACTGAAGGTACACCTATTCAAAACCATCTTGATGAGTTTAATAAGGTTATTATGGATTTGAAAAGTATGGATAATAAAATTGATGATGAGGATCAATCTTTGATTTTGTTGTGTTCTTTACCTCCTTCGTATGCGAATTTTGTTGAAACTTTGTTATATGGGAGGGATTCTATTTGTATGGAGAATGTAAAAGCCGCTTTGAATTCAAGAGAGTTAAAGAACAAAGTATTTGGAAATTTGAATGATTCTCATTCTGAGGCTTTGATAGCAAGAGGCAGAGATAGGGAATATGGTTCAGGTAGTAATAAAGGAAATTTGAGATCGAAGTCTAAGACCAGAAACAACACATGCAACTATTGTCGCAAGGAAGGGCATTGGAAAGTTGATTGCCCAAAACTGAAAGATAATGCTGGTGCGAGTGCGAATGTCGTCGATGACGACTTCGACTTTGTTCTATGATGACAGTTGGCTACACCAGATCTGAAATATTAAAAAAAAAAAAAAAAAAAAAAGGAATCTGGTGTTGTGGGTACTCTTGAATCTCTTCGCTACATATGGAGATTTAAGAGTTTGTAAGGATTCTTCTGTTATGTTGTGCTTGTGTTTTGTCAGTTGCCTCTTCATTGTTTTTTGTTTGTTTTGGATATTGGTATGGTTTTGCCTTTTGTAAAATTGTATTCAGTGAGGACCAATTTGTTGAGTTCTGCAAGGTTTTGATAGTGAGACACCTAATGCGGAACATTTGTGTGGAACCCTCTTGTAGAAGGCAAGTCATATGCTTTCTAACTTTGGTCTATGGACATTTGGTTGGATTTGTTTGGATTTGTTTGCCACTGCTATTTGGTCTGTTGGTCTCCATCATCTGCAATTAGTTTTCTTGAAGACTCCAGTTGAGGTATGGTTTTGGATCTCCTGCTGATTATTTGAATTTAAAATTTGGTTGTCCTGTTGGTGCTCATGTGATGATGGTAAACTTGAGTGAAGGGCATATTTTTGTATGTGGTATGTGAGACCTTGTTGCCAAATTTGTAATCAGTTTTGACTTGGAGAATGTGCCATGCTATGTGAATGAGTCTATTGGTGCAGTTAAGACCATGGTGTTTGTGAGCAGGTGGAGTTCGTTGTGTGTCCAACTTTGGTATGGTGTGCTTGATCTTTTGTCGGTGATATTGAAGAATTTCAGTTCTTCGTTTGAATCACTTTTGTTTTTTAATCAAGGCACTTATGGTTTGCAAATTTGGAGAAGACGGTAGAGAAATGTTCACTTTCGTTGGCTTTGGTACAGCTTGGTCAAGGTGGAGATTGTTGGATTTGTGACCAAGTGGACAACAAGCCAAAATACCTTTCGGCTAATAAAATAGAATAAGGAAAAGGGGGACATCATTATGATGTCTAGCCCTTGATTTGTGGCTTTTACAAAGGCAAAGAATATGTGGCAATTATGGTTTTGTTCCTTTTGTTTATTATATGTTTTTTGTTATGCCTTTGGTGAAGTGGGAGCGGCAGTAGAGGAGAAAAAAGGGAGTTGTTTGTTGACAGCTCTAATCAGTGAGCAGAGGAGAGAGCATTCGGCTCTCCCATATTAAATAGAGTTGATGCCTTCCCCCTTTGTGAGTGATCACTCAATTAAAGATATTTGTGCTACATATTGTGGCTTTAGTGAGAGAAGGAATTTGGTATATGTTTCCATTTTCTCCATTTGTTCTTTGTTTTAGTGAGAGCTATTAGGTGTATGTGGGATTTGGGTTTGAGAGTTAAAACTCTATTTGTAATCTCCTTTTGATATTAGTGGAATTTCCTCGCCGTCTCGGAACTGGACGTAGGCTTACGCCGAACCAGTATAAATCCTTGTGTTCTTTGGATTATTTGTCTTGTCATATTTTACTGTATTAGCTTATTGGTTTCATATTTGACGCTTCCGCACAACAATGTTCTGCTGTGACAGTGGAGCAGGATAACGCAGGTGGGACATCCTCTCTGTTTTCCTTGTTCGTTTATGCTTGGAAGGTGGAATGAGGCGATTAGCGGCATGATTGGATTAAGTTAAAGCAAAGTGATTAAGGATAGATGGAGGTGATTAGGGTCCAACGTTGATGCAGATCAAGATGAGATTTTCCACATATGATGTGAATTAGGAACATCATTAGACAAGAACAGATTGAATCACATTAACATGTCCTATAATCCTCCAAATCCTAATTATCCAACTGCCTACTTTGAGTTTATCATTTATCTATATATGGATCATATATTTGTTTTTTTTTATTAGGTATTTAGTAGAATTGTCCATGATAGGTTGTGCAATAGTCGAATTTTTCTTGTGAGTACGAGATAAGTGTGTTTGTATCACTTGAAGTACATGTTACAAAACAATCGGTTATGAATAACATAAGTAATATAATAATTTTTATCATGTTTATTAGTCTGTAATGGAAATCAAAATAAGAAATTTGATTCTAATTGCAGATTACCAGGGTGTTACTATGGAATGAAAGTATTAGAGGAGCCCATACAATATCATCAATATAAACTCTTTACTATGGAATGAAAGTATTAGTGGAGCCCTCACTAGAAAATTTTGAAAAGTTGTTTTAAAACTCGTATGTAAGAGCTTTTAAATTAACTAAAAGTGCTTTTAGAAGAAAAAAAATATTTGGGTTTCAAAAGAATTTGAAGTATATTTGGGTTTTAAAAGAATTTGAAGTGTTTTCTTCAAGAAGTATCAATTGCTTCAAGTACTTTTTCAAGTTTCACTTGTGTTTATACCATATTTAGTGCCTCGTATTTAGACCTCGTATAAATACTCGGGGAACTTAAATGTAATTATGTAATAAATGAAGGGGCAAATATGTAATTAGGGGAGGAGCCCTTATTCTATAAAAGGGCCTCCTCACCCTCACAAACCAAAAGGTGACTCCTGGCTAGAGCAAAGCTCTCACACTCTCTCCCTCACTTCTCAGAGAAATACAATACAATCAGTGTGGACGTAGCCCAAATATTGGGGTGAACCACGATACATCTTGTGTTATTTACATTACTTGCAGATTCACGGTCGGATTTACGTTGTTCCAAGACCATTCGATTTTGTGCATCAACATTTGGCGTCGTCTGTGGGAATCGACACGAAAAGTTACATCGGTTCTCTTTCAATCTTTTATCACACCACCGTGAAACCTTCACAATCTTCCCCGTGTATCTGCAAAAAGAACCCAGAAAAAACCCATTTCGTTTTCCATTTTTTAGTGAGAGAAAGAAACAGAAAATCAAAATCTCAAACAGACACAGAGCCCTCTCTCTCTCTGCCTCTGAACTCACGCCTTTCCCCACAACCCACCAAAACAAAAACACCAGAAAGATGATTCAGCTGCTGTTCGTAGTGATTTTATCAGAAATGCTTATGATACTGGCGTTTCTGTTCAAGACCCCCTCCAGGAAGCTGGTGATTTTGGGGCTGGATCAGATCAAGCGGCTGCTGCGGCCCCGTCGTGGAGAAGCACGAGTTAGAGCGGCTCGAGAAGCTCAGAGCAAAGGAGGAGCTCAGGCTCAAGCTTTCACCAATCAAGGTGGATGCAATAAGCTAAGAGAACCGCAACGAGGGCAGAGAGGTAAGTGTGGAGCTCCGCCTCTTCAACAAATGAGACCCACTCGGACCTTTTGACCCAGCCGACCTCACCCGACTCCGACATCCAACTCTGCTTCTTCGAAATTTTTTCAAATCTGATCCGTAAACACCACCAGCTCTCTAAACTTGGCAAACCATGGTGCTAAAACTTCAATAGTCGTTCGAAGTCCAAGAGGGTGGCTCCTTCGATTGAGCAGCAGCAGCAGAAAGCAAAAGCTTGGATCAGGCTCTCCAGGTCCAACCATCCAAGTATCCAGCTAGCGAATACCCATCTTCTCCGCTGATGAAGAAGCCGGGCTTTCTAGCTACCTCAGTCGCTGCCGCTTCTGCCGCTGCTCTCTCTGCCACTTCTTCCTCTTCAAGCTTTGTGTCTGATTTAGCTGCTGTTCTCTTTTAATTGGTTTAATTGTAGGTGGACTTGTTGACTTGTTAAACATCTCTGATACGGAAAATAGCACCAGGACCTGGTGAAGCGGAGATCCAAGTACTTGAGGGAAGGCAGAGACAACATTACTTTG